AATATTGCGATTTCATAGACATAAGTCAGGCACATAGGTGAAAGAAAGTTATAATCCTGGAATAGGGACAAGTTGTTCATAAGGTAAGGAGGACATTATTTTTCAGTTTATTTGTATATGTACTATTGTGCATCGAGTTGCACTGAGTTCTTGGCGCACATATTTTGATGTATAATGAATTTACAGTTTGGTTGTTCTTTCTAACATTAGAGTCAGTCGGAACAGTCTGCTAAATACTCTGTCTGTGTAACACATAAGGAGATATAGAAATATTATCTTCGCATTAACGAAAAACCCAGACATAAGATGAATGCAATACAAATATCTGGGGAAAAACAGGCTCCCATATAACTATGTTTTGAACAGCATCCTTGACTTAAAGTTCATTGATGTATTATGTTGAGATCAGTGATATAAAATTAAGGTGACTAAATCCGCGCGGCGGGTCTCTGTCGACTTTCACATTGTGTGCCTGTGACCTTTGGGGATCGTGAGTGGTCTAGCCTCAGACATGTGCCTAAAGGGCTTAACTAGAGCGGATACTGCTATCAACTCTGTCGAACCTAGAATACCTCACTTCCGCAAGAATACGGCGTTTAGAAAAGAATGCTGTCTGTTCCGTGCCGCTGTCAACCACCTGATTTGGAGCTGCTCCCATAGCCTTACTATATACACCTGCCATTAATGCAACAGGAGCATCTGGATCAGAAAATTTTGAGCTTGCGGCTTTCTCCAGTGAGTTTGTCAGCTGTGTAATTGAGTTGGATGCTTTTGACAGTATTCTGGTTTTCCCCTCAGTACATTAGTCAAGGGCTGCATATATTTTGAGCAGTTACGAATAATATGTCGATGGAAGCTGGTCAGCCACTATTACAATCTACCCTCGAAGATATATTAATTAATGTTAGGTGTGGTCTAGAAGGAGATCATATATATTTCGTATAAACGGGTAAGCGTGCCATTTTTACAAACACGATCAATTATGTTAAAAATTACAATTGTGAACCAGCATAGATTATCACTTTTTCAAGAGTTCAAATTGTTGAATTATTGTGATAATAATAATTTATATCTCGTATAAACATGAAAGTTAACGAGAAATCCATGCCATTTTTGCAGATGCGATTAGTGGTGTTATAAATTACAATCCTGAAGTATCATAAATTAATACGTTTTCAAAAGTTTTAATTGTTCAACTATTGTACAAGCAATTAGAATAAGTTCTTATAAATGTTAAATTGTAAACCCTTTACGAAGGTCACCATCAAAGCGACAACCCAAACTTCGTTCCGTTTCCTGCTAGTGGCTACGGTCAACCGGTGAGCAGCGTATATCTGGGTGAGCGCTATGCCGCCACATGACTAGACGCCATTTCAGGAGGAGAATGAAATTCTGCGCAGCTGCAAAATGGCATAAAATGCAATTATGCACAATACGTTATTGGAAGTATATTTACAAGATTAATACAAGAAGAAGCCATATAGTACTTGAAATGATAGTATACATTTGCAATTTTAGAGGCTGACGGTATTGACGTTCGCGATTTGTACGGAATATACTAACGCAAGATCTTATACTAACAACTTCGATAGTATTCGTTTCTCGTGGACCAAAGGCAAAGCAAAAGACATGATTGATCGTCCAAATTACGAGATATATTCGGAACCAAATCGTGAACTGAGGCGGAAGCTAATCTGGCTAGTGATCGTGCACGAAAGTGACACGACAGAGTACCGAATTGCAAGGATGCTTGACCGGAAGCCTTCAGCTACACAAGTCGATTTGAACACTAGGGGTCATCATCCAATGTTGGGTGATGATTGCTGTGGTCAATAATTTTGGAGAATTATTTACCGCTACACGATATGTGGTGCCAACCATATTGGTCTTACCAATGGAAAATTATGACGTTTTCGATGAAAATACAGTTATTTTCAAACATGGGTGTTGTTATTATAATTTTTTCTCCATCAAACCAACCGAACTTTATTTGAGCGCAGAGTGTTAATGAAAAGAGTGAATTTCAGGTTTATTCAAGGCCTAGGTAGTTGAGATAAAATAGAGTATAATGGTAATTAGATATTAGGATTGTCGTGAAGTGACATTTCGGATAGAAGTGGCTTGGAGGATTAGAACCTGTTGGATATGCGGACCTGTAAGATGTCTGGTCGAACTCGTGTATGGCCCGTGGGGTAGAATCTTGACAAGAAGATAAGCAGGCTTTGTGGATGCTAGGAGCAATAGCATTTTTTAGTAAAATGCGGCTGAAGTTGGGATGACAGTTTAAGTGTGAGAAAATGACCACTTCATATAGTCATGGAGAGTGGGCAAAAACTAGCGGAGAGGGGATGATGTACTTTTGCAAAATCTGTATGGGAATGCGACGTTATTAATAAACCATAAGAGGGTGATAATAAAGCAAGGATGATGGGAATGGTGGTAATAACGGCAATCATAGCGGGCTTAATCAAATGATACAAAATTATGGTAGGAGCCTTACTCTGACCGATCTAGGGTGAAAGAAAGTATGTAGTGCATTTTAACACAGAGGTGTGGTTTTAGATCCTGAATAGCTAATCATTCAATTGTTTATATAAGGCGTATTCGATTTCTTTTAATGCAAAATTGAGGAATACTATATAGCAAAGTGAAGAATTCATGTGGGGTCGCTCGATTTCCTGAGTTGATAAGGTGTTCGAGGACAGAGCTGCTAGCATTCTTCTTTTCTCCTCTCCCTAGTTGTTATGTACTCGTCGAGTAGTTAATAGTCCTGACGCGGATAGAGGTAAATCAGAAGACCACCAGGTTTACGATGATACTTGCATTTTCCAGACAAGGAAAATAAATGTCACACAAGTGTGTGAGTGGAAGGGTACTTAGATGTACGAACGTGGGAAACAAGAAGAATATAACTGTACAATGCGAAGTATATATGAAAATGACTAATACACATGAACCAATAGACAGTCATCTTACCATGATTGGTTGTAATGTCACGTGACAACAAGGTCATACATTGTCTATTTAAATAGTGAACAGACAAAATCATAATGTCAGTTATAATGGAATATCGATCCATATACACATAGCAAAATATATAAGACTGTCAACGACAAAACACACACTTCATGTGGGTACATATCACTAGTCAATAAAGGAAAGCGCTACACAGAACGTGTTCGCGCTTGCTGTTGAATACGGATTTAACTCATTCTCTACAGTGTCCTCCAAACAGACTTTTCAAGTCACTGATCATTGCATACGTACTAGTTTTGCTTCCGTATCAGTGGGACGAAGCCCTGGAAGTTGATTAGTAGCCCCATCCATGTTGATTTACGATATATTGATATGTGGACCAAGTATTCTCATCTTCTGGTATGTAACAAATTCGGGAATAGAATCGCATATCTAATTCACGTTCTGTTGTGAATTTTACTGATGAGTGCGCCACTTTTAAGGTTTTGAGCACATAATTTGAGTCAAATTTTTCATCCCAAATTGGAACGTATCATTCACGTACCTCTTGCATAGGTTCAGTTGACTGATCAAAGGATCGAGTATGCTGTTTTGGAGACTCCGCATGAAACAGTCAGCTGGGAGTGGACAGAGTTAACTCCATAGCAATACCTTCTTTCTGTATGTAGAACTGTTCGTTGAATTTGAATTGGATATCAAACGTATATATGAGAAGTAATTCCTCCCGATAGTTGACGAGAAGAGGAAGTTACAGGTTGCTGGTTTCGATATGGTCACGGGTGGCGCGAAATTTCTGGGTCAGGGGGACGCTAGTGAAAGGTGACATTCAGTGAAAGCATTTGCTTACAAACACGCCGTATCTGCAAATATTACTTGCCACAAATCCTACAAGCGCCTCGCGAAATATCCACTAATTTCTTCTGCCACACATCCTGGATGGGAGCTGTGGAGTATTACCGTTATATCAGCAAGCAAATCTCAACCGCTACTTCTGTGCGTCGGTGGCACAGTGGCTAGAACGCTCGCCGACCATACAAATGGCTTGGGGTTGATTTTCTGTCGAAGCACATGTGATATCACCAGTGGGCCTGCTAAATATGGTTAACTGATATCATATGCTGAAAATTCCATACATGTACCAAAATACTGTGTAGAATCAAGCTATAATTAAAAAAATAAATAAATATGGTAATTCAAGAAATAATGTTAATGGTTAAATTCATGATCTCACTGACTCATATGATGATAATTTTCAGCTCCCAAATGCCCCGCTTGTCACTTTATCCGGATTGGTTTGTTTTATTCCTGTTTGTAGCCGCCCATGGACTGAAAATTACCTGTTGCTATAACAATACCTCTTTGTACGCCTGACTGGACACATATCGCTATAGTGAGTCTCTGGTAGCGAATATTTCTAAGGATATTAACAGCGTTAAAGCCCATATTTCCAGCTATAGAACCCTTTCTATCCAGTAATCCTGCGTCGAATAGCCAATTTATGAGTAAAACAGTTACTTGTGAGGTGTGCCAGTGCCTACCATACAGTCAATAAGCAAATAAAGGGTTATTTGAGTAATATAAACGCTACGAGGTGTCGTGCTAGCAATTTGCTAACGGAAGGGATCTAGAAGGCTCATCGTCTTCACCTCAAGCACTAGTTATGCCAAATCCTCTACTATGATTGGGCAAATATATATAGAGCCAGTATTAGATACAGACATCCTCTCATTTGGGTTAGGCTAGCAGAGTAGATAGCTGTCTTTTACAAATACGTAACAGAAGCGTTAACTTTTTGTTTCAGCATTGCATCATATTTCAATGGCTAAAAATGGATGTACTTCTCCAAGGTTTTTGATAATTGGTATTTGTGCCCCTACCACGTGAAATTAACTTGGTTTGGTTTGTTGGCAACTTTATTGTCTAAAAATATACAGTTTGTCTCATTAAACTGCTTGGTCCATTATCAGAAACGTACATGGAAATTACTTAGCAAGATAAAGCAGCTGTAGAAACTATGTTTAAATTTAACACGGGAATTGTTTATATTGACAGAGCCTCAACGCACATTAGTTGGCGGTAACGTTGGGTTGTCTGCAGCATGGGTGGGTTTCTGCGTGTAACTTTTCATTATATGTAGAATTTGGTTTCCTGAAATATGTGAATTAAGTTGTCATAGTTTGAGTGGGTAGACGTTTATTTGCGCTGTACAATGTTACTTCTATACGACGACTCGGTAATTGTTTTGCTGTTGAAAATTCTATCACATGTTCCAAAGCCACAACGGTATTTAGCATGTGAAAACCATTCCAGTCTACACCAAATGTTTCTGAGGTCACGTGAAAATCGGTATGGGCACTACAGCAAATGTTGTGCCATTGGTGACTTATGGTTGTTTGCCTTATTCCTAGGTTTGTTCAGTCAAAGTTGATACTCCGTGGCGTGCCTTATCTAATGAATACCTGGAGTGGTGTTGGAGTACTATGTGTTTTTTGTATTGTAACAGCTGCATTGAAAATATAAAGTCATCTGGCATCATTAAAAAGGCGGTCTGACCTTACTTAAAATTGAAAACACTAGAGGTTTCGTATCTAATACCATTGTTGATTTCCTAAACAGCAGCATTTTAAGTAGTATAAGAACTTGGTAACTGTAACACAAGTTTTCCAAAGTAGGACTGCTGCAATAAGCGTACGAATCAGTACTTAGAAGACAGCCTAATGCTTGATGACATGTAGTTTGCAGCTACCTGGAAACCGGTTAACTTTGCGGGTTTCGAGTCTAACGTCAATTTTTTTGGCAGTACAGCACGTTAATCAACGAATGTCATCTAGCTTATGCTCTTCACTGGGTTTTTATATCCATAACAATTAATTGCGGTAGAATCGTTACTTCGTACACTAAAATCTACCTAACTTCAACCGCTTTTCACATCTATTCCAGCTCACTAATAAACCAAGTGTGGTACCTTGAGTAAACAATTTCAGAAAGGTGTTCTACCTATTACATCAGTAAGAGCCGCAGTCGCCTAAAGTAACTAGAACTATGGACTTACAAAAGTGAGGCTTATGGAACTAGGTTCAGGAAGATGCAAACGCTTATTTTAGTCATCGTTAAGCTTAGCAACCACATATCATGCGTGTCAGTAGGAACGAATGCAGTCTTGGTGAACATTTTTGCATCTGATATATGGTTACGTTATTTATCTCTGCACTTTTGTTTTCCCAGGTATCGCTCGGGATCGTATACACAAAAGGGCTAAAACTGGAGCACGTAGAGAGCGCAATCGAAAGAAGAGGAAGTTCGAGTTGGGTCGTCCAGCTGCAATGACAAAACTTGGACCTAAACGAGTGCATACCGTACGCGTGAGAGGAGGCAATTTCAAGTTTCGAGCAATGCGTTTGGATCAGGGAAACTTCAGTTGGCCTTCTCAGGCTATTTCACGAAAGACAAAAATCATAGATGTCGTCTACAATGCCTCCAACAACGAACTTGTACGAACGAAAACCCTTGTGAAGAATGCTATTGTACAGATTGATGGGGCACCATTCCGACAGTGGTTTGAGGCCCACTACCTGAAAGAGCTTGGGCGGCGAAAAATAGTCGGTAAAAAAGGTAATACCGTCACTCAAGAAAACCCGGAGGATGACATTTTGCAAAAAAAGCGAAGTAAATCGGCCCTCAAAAAGTATGAGGCTCGACAAGCTCTACCTCAGGCCAATGTTGAAGAAGCTCTAAAAGAGGAGTTTGTAACTGGTCGAATTCTAGGTAAGTTAATGTGTTAAAATTATCAACTTTTTAGCTTGTATTTCCTCACGACCCGGTCAGGTTGGACGTGCAGACGGATATATTTTGGAAGGAAAAGAACTGGAGTTCTATGCCAAGAAATTGAAGGCTAAGAAAGCCAAGTAATTTTTAGAAAATAAATTTTGAAGGAGAATCATGGCTTTTATTAAAAAATCATACGTATCCAGTCTCTCTCTGTCTGTCTGGATTCAACATAGAACTTGGCACCGAAGTGCAGCAGTTCGAGTTGCCACCTTCCAAATAGCACACAGAGGTAGACAAGAAGATGAGTGAAGAGAATCAATACAGTTTGACAAGTATAAGAGTGAAACAGAATGGGTAATGGTAGAAAGGAATATGAAAGAAAGACTGAATACATCTGCGCCATTGACAACGATTTTGAGCCATGTCACCTATTGTCTCCAGCCATTGATTCCTAGAGTCCCGAGGGCCCCAACCCGGGAGTCTGCATCTCCCTACCTGACTCAGTTTAACTGTCAAGGATTTCATGGATTGATGCCATGTTTTTGTTTGGCCACCACTGGCTCTTTTCCAACCTGCACCTATATCAGCTAGTAATGCCCGTCGGGGGAGGCGGTGGTTAGGCATGCGCAGCACGTGACCTAGCCATCTTAGTCTATGTAACTTTATAGCCTCGTCGATTGATTTTCCCTCTTTGCCCAACACTCTACGCCTAACGTCAACATTACTTACCTTATTAAACCACCTAACGTGAGACAGAGATCGCAGACATCTATGATCGAAAGCAGTCAACCTTTTCATGTCTTCAACGCGTATTGGCCATGTTTCAGAGCCATAGAGAAGGACGGAGCGAACTGATGAGCAGTACACACGTCCCTTGGTTGATAACCGGATGTCACGCCTACGCCAGAGATGGTGTAAGTCAGCGAAAGCAGCTCGAGCTTTTCGGATCCGTGCTGAGATTTCATCGCCAATCAGTCCGTTGGTGCTAATACAACTTCCCAAATAGGTGAAGTGGTCAACATGTTCTATCACTTCACTCCCTATCACTAAGTTAGGGGTTGACGTGGTCCAGTCCTGTAGCAGCATCTTACATTTTGTAGGGGCGAATCGCATGCCAAACATACGAAGATTGCTGCTCAAGGTGTTCAGAAGACTCTGCATTTTGTCAGCATCCTCCCCTAACAGGACTATGTCATCTGCATATTCTAAGTCCATAAGACTATTCCCTGGTAACAAGTCGATTCCTAAGTCATTACGTTCAGTTAAGGATACTTCCATTAGCATATCTATGATGAAGTTAAACAGAAATGGGGAAAGTGGACATCCCTGTCGGACACCACTGGTTGTTACCAATTCAGATGACAATTCCCCATAAGCCCTTACACGACTACGTGAGTTTGAATAGAGTGCCTTGATTAGTGCAATGTACTTTCTTGGCACTCCCTTCACAGTCAGACATTGCCATAGTACCTTTCGATCCACGGAGTCGAAGGCCGCCTTCAAGTCAAGAAATATGACAATTGTTGGACGCCGAAAAGTGTGTCTATGTTCTAGAATCTGTCGAAGAGTGAAGATATGATCTATGCACCCTCTACCTGGTCTAAAGCCTGCTTGATTTTCCCTTGTCTGTTCCTCCCGAGTTCTGCTTAGTCTATGCATGATTACTGAGCCTAGGATTTTAGAGACTATGTTCGTTAGGCTGATCCCCCTATGATTATCACACGAGGACTTGTTTCCCTTCTTGAATATCGGTATAATAAGTGACTTACCCCAGTCTGATGGCACTGTCTCTGATTCCCAGACTTTGCCTAGTACCTCAGTTAATCTACAAACTAGTATGTCACCCCCATATTTAAACACCTCCGGAATAATTCCGTCGGGTCCTGCCGCTTTGCCTCGTTTCAAATTACTGATAGCTTTTGTGACCTCACTTACAGACGGCGGACCAGTGTCTATATCCCATTCGGGTACGTGGTGGATGTCGGGGAGGTTCAGTGTGGCTGTAGGCAAGTTAAATTGTCCTCAAAGTGTTCTTTCCAGCGTTCAAGGCGTCTATCCTGAGAGCTAATTAAGGAGCCATTTTTCTCAGAAATAGTCTCACTTATGATTTGCCTTCTCCCACCCGTTTCCCTGATGAGTCTAAAGAGTTGCCTAGTGTTGCCTATCGCCGATGCTTTTTCCATCTCTTTTGCCTTTGTCAGCCACCACTGTTCACGGTCCTTGCGGAGACTTTTAGTAAGTTTCCTTTTGTGCAGCTTTCGCTCCTCATTGAATTCGGAGCTCGCCGGAATAAGTCTTCTAGCATCTATCAGTTCGGATGAGGCAGTCGAAATCCAGTGGTTTTTACTCACCTTTGGATTTGCCTTATTCACAGCTTTTACAGCTGTATCTATAGCTGACTGAATATTCTTCCAGGCTTCTCCAGGGTGAGCACAGCTGTCGAACTCAGATATGCGTTTAGCTAGTTCTTCCTCAAATAGGGATTTAGTTTCCTGATCGAGCTGGGGACGTGATGGTTTTACCGCCAGCTGTTTCCTACGTCCGTTCAGTCGTAAGCACACACGAGCCCGGACCAGTGCGTGATCGGTATCTACACACGTGTTCCAGAAGGAGCGACAATCTCCTACCGACCCACGCCAACGATAGCTTATTGCTATGTGGTCTATTTGTGTCCAGCGTTGGTTTGATGATGGGGGTCGCCAGGTTAAACAGTGTCTCTCCTTGTGTTTAAAGTTAGTGCTTACAAGAAACAAATGATTATCTGAACAGAACTGTAGGAGACGGTCACCGTTGTCGGTTCGCTGGCACGGAACTCCATAGGTGCCACCGACATCCTTCTCAGATTGACACAATTTCCCTACTTGAGCATTAAAGTCACCAGCTAGAACGACTATATCTGAGCGTTTAGCCTTTCTCACCAAACTAGACAGCTTTTGGTAGAACTCATCCTTCGTTTCATCCGAACTGCAGTCAGTGGGGGCGTAGGCGGAGATTACGAAAAGGCATCGGCGAGTAGTGCAGTCCTTTCTCCTTCTTACTGATCCGTTCAGACGGACAGCACACATTCGGCTATCTACTGGGATCCAGTCAAGTAATGTCTTTTCTGCCCTAGTACTCAAAGCTATCCAGTGGTTTCTTATATCATCGGCTATGTGAATGCGTTATCGTCAGTGTGTAGTATTTGCATCACCACCAAATACCAATTGGGTTGCTTTTTCTGTAATTAGACATACATTGGATTTACTGTGCTGGTTTTGCATATGCAGTAGTTAGGTTTCGTTTTCAAATATATTTCCATTTAATCTCCTGACATGGTTCTCTAGATGGGAAAATGGCCACAATCAGCATCAGTGAATGTAAAGACCACGACGATACTGTTCACAGTAAAGCATTATCAGGAGCGGCTTCAACTAGTCTGTTAACTTCAATCTGAACCTTTGTATTTGCACCTGTCATGTATTTGTATCTTGTTTATGCCACCCCCTTTCGTTGAAAGACTTGGTGTGGCTCCAGAAGTTCGTAGACATGGTGAACTACCAAAGATGATAACTCAAAGAAAAGGTGATGTGCAGCAATCGGAAATAGTTCCGCAGGTCTGGTTTAAGTTATCGACTCACCTTGTGTATGAGAATTGAGACAAGTGATGGTTAAAGGGGGTTCGAATTATATGAAAAAGTACCTAGAACTATTGTCAATAGTGTGAAGCCAGGGAGAACCAGGTAGGATCTATTTTCGGATTAGGGTTCACTGATCATGTCTCTGCCCTTTGAAAGTTTTTGGGGCAAGGGCATATCGGGGACATTTGACTTTGCTGTCCGAGATGTGACGTGGCCATGATTGGTTGTTAAGTGTTATGAACTTGAATTACTCAAGGCACCCGTACTAACCCAGATGTGTAATCGCTTAAAGGTAGTCCTTATCTCAAGTTGTGTCCGTCGAGGATACGCACTGCCTACATTGTCGTTACTTTCGTCAAGGGTGTGTCGACGGATGCCACCTTAGTCGAATTCAGCTGCCTTACCATTGCGTTATTACCCACGGACACTTGCGTCAATTTATAGTGTTCATTCTCAGTGGAGACGCTGGAAAAATGCAGTCTTCTGGACACTATGAGAAGTCTGGTGTGCTATTTTCCCCCTCAAATGTGATATGATGCCCCTGGGCTGGTCTGCACCAGCTTCTATTGGAATGGTTGACTACTTCTATTCGGGAAGTTGCAGCATCCCTAGTGAGGTGATTACCGATTAGATCTCATTGCGGATAAAAAGAGCTTGTGTAACATCCCACACTTGTGTAATCTCTGCGGTGGACGTGATATCTGGTAACGAGCAATGGATTTGTGTACTACGCGGTAGCTAGTCCTGTCTTTCTTTATGACTAGGAAACGTAGTTGTTGGGACTGGAAGACGTGAGAAAGCTAGCTGTTTTTAACTACAGGTATTTGTGTGGCAGGGGGCATAGTGTTTTGAGTTATATTGAGACAATGTGTAGTGTTGGGTATGGATGGTAAGACGGCCTATGAGGTTGTGTAGCACCTAGGATTCATGTTAATCCGTCTCCTAGGACAGTGTTATTTGACGTAGGATTGGGCTGGTAAAAAGGAGGGGGCGAACGTAATTCCATCAAATTCTCAGTTTATATATTCTTCCGTTCGTCAGTTCCTTCGCAGTTTTCTCTCTACACTTAGGAAGTAAACGAATTGAACTGCTGAATTTCTGAGTAAAGTTCTAAATGGAAAGCACGTCATTTAGCGTATGCCGCTCAGCCACTGGTGGTTTTGTAAGCGACGAATTTAATCAAACCTACGAGGGACTGACCCATTATGAAAACTAAACATTCGCAGATGCTCAGCAGTGCCTCATGTGACTTTGTAGAATTCATTTGTGATCGAGGAAATCCTGGTCTCATTAGCCAAAGTTTAGGAAACTGAAATGTTATTCTCAGTCACTTAGTAAATGATGTACATAACCGGTAGTGAGGAAGTTCGTTAGGTTTTCCTCGTAAGACGGGATATTTTTGAATGTTATCTTGAGGACGGTATAACAGTTTATTTTTCATTAAACAGACAAGACATGCGTTATTTATTTCTGTGTAAACTTCATAGACTACTGGTAATGTCTACGCGGTACGTGTCCAGTACTCCCTGGTTTTCCAGCGGTTCTCTGACTG